TACCCCCAGTGCTTAATTTTCCTCTCTCTAAGCCTCCTCCAGTGTCTGTCGCAGGTCCCAGGGAGGGATCTCTGTCTGTCTGCCTTCCTTGCAAAGGAAGGGGTGCTCGCAGCCCTTCCTCAGCGCAGCACAGGCTGTCGGCGAGCAGGGTGTCAGCGGCAGGGTCCGCAGTGTCAGCAGACAGGCCGTGTGCGCTCCCTCGCTGCCCCTCTCACGCTGCAGCGTGGACGGGCAGCGGGAGCGGAGGTGCTCTGATGCCTGTGAGAAACGCGCTGCTTGAATCCAGCCAAGACTCGCTTTAATTGTTTTGTCTTTTGCAGGATTCGTTCTGGGAGGCGCGTTTGGTGTCTTCACAGCTGGCATCGACACCAACGTTGGGTTTGATCCCAAGGATCCGTATCGCACGCCAACTGCAAAAGAGGTCCTCAAAGATATGGGGCAGCGAGGCATATCCTATGCGAAGAACTTTGCCATTGTGGGCGCCATGTTCTCCTGCACCGAATGTGTGGTAGAATCTGTGAGTAGTAACTTCTTAAGCATTAAGAAATGTTTTCTTGTACACTTAATCTCTTTTACTAGATCCAAAAAAGTATGTGTATCCCTTTGTAGCAGAGTAGAGGAGTATGCTAGGTTGTTCTGTTTCTTGGCCGTCAAAGCTTTTAATCTTTGAGACCTGTCTTCAGAACTGTTGTTCTCTGACAGAATGACCAGAAGAGCATGCGATGGCCAAGTCCTGAAAAGGACTTCAAAGAACGGAGAAGTTCGAGTCCTGAATGTATTTGCATTTACTTTATAAAACCCTATCTATGAGTACTTGTTACTTTAAAACATCTAACTGGGAGATGCGACATGGTAATCTGAGCCTCTAAAAATTCCATGTGCAGAAAGGGATCCTTTGATGAGAGTTCTTAAGTAACAGGCCTATTTTCATCTTGCCCCTACAGCAAGAAGTGTCCTTGTGCAGCTCAGTGATAAGTCTGTCATCCATTTTTTAAAATACAAAAATTAGCCTGTTATGATTTTGAGTACTACCTTTTACTTGAAAGACACATTTCTTAACTCGTCTAGAAGAGAAGTGTATCTGCTCGCACAATGGAACACAACAAAGAGACTTCTGCGCTGGTGAAAAACTACCATGCTCTGGCTCTGGAAAGAGTACACCTTTGTCAGCAGGGTGCTGTGGCTCTCGCCTGTGCTGCAAACCAGACTGCATGGCCAGGCTGAGTGTTGCACTCCTGTGGTTATAGTGCCTTTGAAATCTCTGAGCTGCTGCTAGTGCACAGTGCTGTGTTCTGGGGGCTGTGCCGGCTCGCCTGAGAATCTTTGCCATAGCACTGCATTGCACCATATGGATTTGTCTCACCTCTCCCGGTGACCCATTCCTTCGTCTTCTCCTGGCCCTGCAAGTCTTATGTTTGAGAGTGCAGGGGGCCATCTGCTGAGAACAGAGGGAAAAACATCCTCAGCTGAGCAGGGGCTGGAAGGTCATTTAATACCTCTTGGTATTAGTATAGATAGCGAGCATTTATTTCGCATTTACTTGTTGACTCTGATTTTTAATTCCACAGTATCGTGGAAAGTCAGACTGGAAGAATAGTGTTATTAGCGGCTGCATCACAGGAGGAGCAATCGGCTTCAGAGGTTGGTAGTGCCTGCTATGGACTATTTCTGTGATAAGACTCTAATTTGGTTAAACAGCATGCGGTGTTTTTAACGGAGCGCAGACTGCAAATCTCTTTACATGGGGTTATGGTGATGTCAACATGAGACTATCACTTTCCTATCAGCTTGAAAGAGATGTGTGGGTGGGGAAGGCCTGGTCGCACAGGACAGTGAGATTGGAGGAAAATCCACAGAAGTGACTTGAAAGAAAAATCAGGAAATGATGTTAGCTATCCACACTCTTTATGGTGTCGTGAGGAGGGAGCCAAAAATTCGTAGTGAGCAACTCTCTGAAGCTACAGCTCTTGTGTTAACGGAGCTCTACTTATATATACTATTTCACTGGCAGTAACTCTGTAAACGTGTACAGTGTATTAAATGCTTTCCTCCTTTCTTATGTATTAATTCAAACAGACAATTCTATTTAGCTGTAAAAGAGCAGGAGCAGTGGGATTTTAGTCCAGCAGGCACTAGTGGGGACTTTGGTAAGCCTTGAGTGCCAGCAACATCTGGAGAAAAGCCCCAAGTAGGAAGAGAGCTGCTCTGCTCATTAGAATTACCAAAATTCTCTCATCTCTCCTTAAGAAACCGTCCACAGAGCATAAAAGAAAAGAAAGTGCTCTTGAAAGTGCTTCTAATTGAGCTTGTTAAGTTGGTCCTGGACCTAATCCTCTTAGAGCTTCCAGAGCTGCAGCTGCTCTTCCTATGCATCACTTGTCCAACAGCAAAGCCACTTGCAGCGCTCGGATCAGAGCGCGCTGAAATCAGCAACGGCCACTGACAAAACATCTTCCAGCCCCTGGGGGCAGACTCAGCAACACAGCGCCCACCCAGCGCACCGTGCTAGTCCAGCCGTGGTGGTTTAAGTCCAGCGTGTGCCAGGTCCCACCCCCTCACCTGGGGCAGTGGTAGTGTGACCCTGGTCGTGGACTGCCGAGTTCCTGCAGGTGGAAGCTCTTCAAGCCAGCACAGCATAAGCTAGTTACTGGGAAGGAAAATCACTTTCCTGTTTTGTCTCATTCTTTCCCACCCTTTTTGCATTGCAGCTTGATGGGCTGTGGTGGATTTGCTGCTTTCTCCGCCGCAATTGACTACTATCTACGGTAACAGTGGGAGCCCTTGGGAGCAAGTTTCCCGTTTGTTCCAGTGCTGCTGCTAAGAGCCTGCATCACGGGAGAAGAACCATCAGGCTTACCTTCCCACTGCCTTCAGAGTCCTGATCAGTGCAAGCTGGATGGTGTTGGCCGCTTTTCCTGAATGACTAACAATAATCTGGCTCCGAGCCCTGGCGTGCTGCTTCAGGCAGACTTGCGGGAGTATGCGAGGATGGAGCCAGGCGCACTGAGCAGTATCTCCAGGATGGATCAGCTGACTGTCAGTTTCCAGGAAACAAGCCTGGACTCTGAGCTTTTTGGATCCTTTGGGTCTGATTTTGATTAAGTCTGTTGCTAGCATCAAAAGAGGCAGGAGGACAATCTTCAAAAAGAAATGCAGTGATTTAGGTTACCATGTATTTGAACGTGCTGCAAGTGTTTCATAGTTACCAGTTTGCAGCTTGCTACTCTGTTGGGGAGAGGTAAGATCCTGTGGAGAAATATGTTTGTTCCAGGCTTTTTTTTAAATACCAGCTGAAGACAAACCACCATCTGTACAACTTGTCTTATTTCCAGTACAGAGATGAGAGCCAGATTTCTTTACCATGTCTTAAAGGGAAAAGCAAAAAGGAATCCATAGCCTTAGAACCGTGTGGTTACTGGCAGATGAACAAAACGGTTTGAGGGGAAAAAAGAGGTTGCTGCAGAAGTATAATTCTCTGTAGCCACTTGGCTAGCCTGATTTAACCTCGCTGTGGGAGTACAAATAATCTTGCTACTGCTTGAACTGCCACAGGCTTACACCATTAGTTCCAGCAGTTTGATAGTGAGACTAGAAAGCAGAGTTGTGAGAATAAACCATGGTTAGACAGATAACTGGGCATTCACTTAGCACGCAGTCTGTTTCCCATCATGTTCCTGTACCACCTCTGACTGCCCCAGTGTTACACTGGAGGAAGTGTTGTCTCTGCAGAACATTGGTACTGAAATCAAAACATCTGTTCATTAGCTGAAGGAGCTGCTCCTTTTTTGATTTGCGTTCATATTGGCCCTCTTGCTCTTCTAACCAAGCTCTTTTCTTAGCCCTCCACGGATAATTTTTATACTCTGAGTAGTTCACGCTGATTTTAACCTTCATTGAGCCGCTCCGCAAGGGCAAACACCCAGCCTCATCATTTTGAGGCAGCGGGATTTCAGATTCAGTGCACACACATAATAGGGGTTCTCCCGCCCAGTTCCCCTCCTTTGCATCCACAGTCTGACATCCCAACGGGTGGCCGCACTTGCTTACCTGGAAGGGCAACACTAGCAGGGTGGTTTGGCTGATGCACTGGTCAGTTTGGAGGCATGTTGTCTCCCATTCCATGTGGAAAGAAGTGGGGAGACGGCACCATGTGATTGATCAGATGAGGTTTCCAGATCGTCTGATGTCCCTCGCTGTGCCTGTGCAGTAGCCTCAGGCCAGAAGCTGTGCAAGTCAGCTGAATTTTAAGCTTGAGTAATTCTGGGCTGATTAAACAGGCTGGCTCCAGACGGTCCAGGTTTTTTCTCCAGAATGTACTGAAATGCAAGGATGTAGCCCAAACCATAGGATGCCTCTTTAAAGATTGGCTGGCACAATGCCTGTGCTTATACCACTGGCTTGAAGTGCAACTAGTAAGATTTCCATGACAGAAAGAGAAGCTGTGATGCCAAGGGGATCAGTTTAGTGCAAACAGCAACACCACAGGGCTCCTTTTGTGCAAATGTTGGGGCTTTGCATTTTTATTAACATTTTTTTCTCCTCACATGGTTTACAGCCATTTAAAGTTTATAATCTACAGAAATTGAAACAGAACACAACCAAAAATATATCCTTAACAACTTTTGAAAGTCAAATATTAATTAACAGTTCTATACTACCTGTAGCTGCAAGAATCCAGCCCCCTCTTTTCCTTCCTGGAGGGACAAGTAAAAGCCCGTCACGGGGACAGCCGCAGCCTGTTGTGCTGGGGCTGCATGGACCAGGCCTCCAGCCGCTGTCGTACGGGGGGAAATTTGGCTGTACAGAGTCTCCATCTGGAATGACAGTATCGTGGACAGACTTGGACACATGTAACAAATCAGACACACTCAGGGATCCGTTGTGCAGTCAGATCTAAAACTCAGCCTCCTTACTGGGTCCAGGGCCAAGACAGACGCCTGGTTATTTTTCTGCAATGCTGTTTCCCTTCTGTTTAGCTGGTAGTCAAGAGGAGCAGGGTCTGGAGTGTGAGCCCTTTGGAGGGGGGGCTGAAAGACCTCCCTTCCTTAAGTTGCTTTGCTGGTGCGGGGCTGGCAGGTGCTGCCTTCCCCGGGGAGGTGGGCTTAGGACATACCTGGTGCACTGGTGGCAGGCGGCCAGGCTCTACCTGGAACAGTCTGTTAGTCGGGAGGGTAAAGGCAACGCCGCTGTTAGCAGGGATACGCTTGGTCACTTCTCATCCATCCCCCTTTGGCACAGGAGAGCACAGGGCCGATGCAATCAGGGAGGGGGCTTTTCCCACGAGAACACGGACTCGGCTCACAGAGCAAAAGGTTTCGTGTCCCAACAGGTGACCGACCTGCGAGTGGGGGCCTTACCAGGAGCCAGGCACTCGGGTGGCCTGAGTGCAGGCATGTGGCTGTCCTGCCTTGGGACATGGCGTGACAACTCCAGCCATCAGCCTGGGGCTCAAGAACTGGAGCCACTAACTAAAACAGACCTGAGCTGGCCGGGCACAGCTAGCCCAGCAGCAACTGCTTTGTGAGAAAGAGCAAATGAAACACTTCTGCCTCTGGTAGCGAGGGCCACGAAGGCTTTCCTCCTCCCGTCTCTGCACTGGTTTCAAGGCTGGGTGACCGTCCAGGTGCCTCACCAAGCACTCACCCCGGGCAGCCTGGCTGGCACTGAGGCACAGCCACGCTGCTGCCATTTGCCCTGTGCCCAGGGCAGCAAGGAAGGCCAGGGAGGGAAACAAAAGCCTCCCCATTCTCGTGGCCATGGCAGGAAGGCTGGTGCCCCAGCAGGCTCTGCCATGGGGCGCAGCCGTGTCGGCAACCCCTGCAGCGCTGCTGGGCTGGCAGGGGCGTTCGTGCCTCGCTGCGACAGAGCTACGGGCATACAGAAATGGCAGGGACCCTGTTCCCCACCCTGCCAGGGCTTGTTGGGGAAATTGTGGGATCCACATGCCCTGATGGGACCCCTCAGTGCCAGAGCACAGACCTGGGGGTCAGCCCATGGCAGCGGGAGCAGACCTGCCCAGCTGGCTGTCCCTCAAGCCTGCTGTGGATCAAGACCAGCACAGCACCTCTCGCTCCAGCCTTGTGTGATGGGTTACCCCAAAACGCTACTTGGAGGTGAGATACAAGCGAGGGAAGTAGCTGCCATGCTACACGCGCACAGGCAAAGCACAGGATAAGGGCTGCAGCAGGGGACTGGCCTGAAAGCACCCAGAAGAGATGTGGTGAGGAGGGAGCAGCACCCCGCTCCTCTGCTCTCGTGGTCGCAGGTTCGCTTGGGCCAGAGCAGGATCCAGGCACAGGGTCCAACGTTTGTGCAGGCAGCGAGCCAAAGCAGAGCTGGTCATCACCGTCACCGGGGAGGGAAGCCCGTGAGCTCCCAGCCTCTGAAGCGAGCCGATGCTGCACATGCAGGCGTGGGGCAGGGGAGCTGGGCAGCGAAACAGGCACTCGTGGGATGCTGCAGGCTTCGAGCTGGGCGAGACGAGGGGTGCGTGGTAGGAGTGTGCGGGCAGAAAGGAGTCCTGGAGAAAACTATCCAAGGGGGAAGCCTGTGTCCACAGCCCTTGTCAGTCACTACCTCTTCCGTTGTACAAATATACATAAAAACAATTCTTGAACACAAGAAGGGACATAAGACACGACTACTTTACAGAGAGGCACGGTGCCTGGGGTGGGACCGGGCCACCGGTACGCGACTGTACAGGAGCTGCAGGCGGCACCGTCCTGGGTCCAGGTCGGTCTCCTTGGGGGGCTGCGATCCAGTCCATGTCCCCCAGCAGGGAGCTGGGAGCATTTGCAGCTGGTGCCTTCTGCCTGCAGGCTACACGTCCGTGGAGAAGTAAAGTGTGTTGCGTTTCAGCTCACTGAAGGAGATGGGAGGATGCTGCAGGTAGTAGAGAAGGACCTGGACCTGTAGCAGGCAAATGGGGGGTGTTAGGCCAGAAAGGGGCAGAGCTGCCACCTCCCAGCTTGTCCCTGTGCAGCCACATCCAGCAAAGAGTGACAAATCTACCCAGACAGGCAGGGAAACCCCTCCGCTCCCCACCCCAGGGGTGCTGGCACAGGCTGCAGCCCCGCACTGCCAGCACGGCTCTTACCTGGGCCATCACATCGTGGGACCAGATGTCGGAGGCCAGGGTGAGGTGTCCCTTGCTCTCCCCCTCTGAGGGTCTCAGCAGTGTCGGCCCAAAGACCGTGGCCAGGTTGTGGAGAGACATTTTGTTGATAGGCTCCTTTTCAGCTACCCTGCGGGGTACGGGGAGAGAAAGAGGGTGAGCCCCTAATGCTGTTCTCCTGGAGCGGGGCAACCATGGGGTGATGTGGGGGGTGAGTGCTGATCTCCTTTCTCCCAGCTCCAGTGGGGGGACCTCTGGCTTCCCACCGCCCTTCGCGGCCCCCGGCAAACCCAGGTGCAGGGCAGGGAGCTCTGCCCCCTTCACGGCCTCCGCCGG